TTTTTTTTTTTTTTTTTTTTTTTAAATCCACGCCGTCTACTTACAAGCAACTTTTCTCCCATTATTTTGCCCAGCCGTACTCACTCGGACGCAGCCCGTGTGTCAATCAGCTGGGTGTCACTACATATAACGCGCACGAAAAAAATTATATTCGTCCGATTAACCCCTTTTACGCGTCGCCCTCGCCGTACGCAACGTTAAGATAAAGGTTAAAGTTGATCGAGTCTTTTGCAACCTCGACGATTTACCGCGATCATTAATTTCTTCCGCAACGTTACACCCTTGTGCAAGACAAATTTTTTCCATGATCCGCGTACGCCGGCCTCTACTCGCCGCGACAGCGTTTACCTGCGCCTTTGATCACCGCGCTTTTTTCCTCCGTCGTGTGTTTTCTGCGATAAAGTCGCTCGAGGATCTCACGGAACAGGTCCCCCTTTCCCTCCCTCCCGCTGACAACACCGATTTCCACCGATAATTCAACGCTCGTCGCGGGTTTTTTTCTTTCCTTTTTTTTTTTTTCTTTTCCTTTTCGAAAGTTGCACAAGGTGAGCGAGATGGGCAACAAATCACGCAAAGTCGGTGAATCGCTTTTTTTTTTGTGAAATTAAAACCGCCACGCTGGGTTTTCTTTCGCGCTTGCACGTTTTTGTAGGTTTTTTTCGTTAAGATCGAATCTAATTTGCTTTGTTGAAACCGTCGAAGAGAACATTTCGTTTCAAGTATTAGAACATTTGGGCCTTCTTGTTTAACGGATTTATCGCCTGATAAATTATTAAAGTACATAGAACGGATATAGAAATATCAATTAATTGTGATCTAAATTTCACATTAATTTCTAACAATTCTTCGCATAATTTAACGAAATTAGGCATTTTCGAAGAGTATTGAGAGATATCTATCAAATAGTCGCTCTTGTACGTTTGATTAAAAGTAACGACCCGACTTCGCGATTGCTTCGTTCAGAAATATGCAGTTACGTGCAATAAGTATCGATCATTTTTCATACTGTTATAGTTGCGTTGCCAGCGTGCCGTATATTCTCGCGAGAGTTTCATTGTGTTTGATTGGAGGCGCGGAACCGGTCGTGTTGCCAAAAGGAGAAAGAATATACCGCCGAAAGAAAATACGTGCAAACGATGATTAATGGGCGAACATTCGATGATACGATAAC